TTACAAAAAAATTCAAATTACTGTTCTCTAAGGCCCGGAACCATCCAACCTCATCAGTTTTTCCAGCTTCTACATCTGGTCCTTTCTTACATGAACCTCATCTCCGTCTATTCCAACCACTTTTCTCATTCCTCATGAACATATTTCCTTCTTTCCTGGGACCCTTACTGATTAACTCGCTAGCTCCAATGAGAAATGTGAACTGTTCCGGATGTATCTAAACACTACGCCAGTATACGGTTTGCTATAGCCCCTCTGTGAGGCAGCTGGTTAGAGGCAGCCAGCCTGAAATGACAACTTTACTTTCTTCTTTTCTCCGTTTCCCAGACACCAGCCCCAATCTTCGGCCTGCTTGCTCTCTTGTTCTCACATCTACTGATATCCCCTGTCCCTGTGCACCAGCTCAGACTTTGTCACTAAGCCTATCTGCTTTCTTGACCTCTAACTCAGAAAACATAACTGCTTTTCTTCCTTTTATTCACTTCTCCCCTCCTGGCAGATCTCCAGTGTGACTGTCTTGTTCTTTTTGTTACTGTTGATGTTTTCACTCAAACTCCGATAAAACTATACCCAAGTTTCCTTTGAGTCCGCTTTTTTATTTTTGTTTTTATATTAATTAGAGCTTATTCACTTTGTAACCCAGCGGTAGCTCCCTCCCTCATTCCTCCCAATTCCACCCTCCTCCATCTCCTCCCATGCCCCTCTCCAAGTCCACTGATAGGAGAGGCCCTCCTCCCCTTCCATCTCACCCTAGCCTATCAGGTCTCATCAGGACTGGCTGCATTGTTTTCCTCTGTTGCCTGGTAAGGCTGCTCCCCCATCAGGTGGAGGTGATCAAAGAGCAGGACACTGAGTTCCCTTACTAGGGCACCCACTTGGAGACTGAGCTGCCATGGGCTACATCTGTGCAAGGTTATCTCCATGAATGGCCCTTTGTTGGAGTATCGGTCTCAGAAAAGACCCCTGGGCCCAGATTTTCTAATTCTGTTGCTCTCCTTATAGCACTCCTGTCCCCTCCAGGTCTTTCTCTCTCCTCCTTCTCTCATAAGATTCCCTGCACTCTGGCCAAAGTTTGGCTATGAGTCTCAGCATCTGTTTTGATACCCTATTGGGTAGAGTCTTTCAGAGGCCCTTTGTGGTAGGCACCTGTCCTGTTACTGGTTTTCTCCCTCTTCCAATAGAGTCTACTTTTAAATGAAAATAATTAAATTATTAAAAGTAAAATGTCTGTAGGACTAAAAACCTATAAAAGGACCCTGCAATCCCTGGTGACAACATAACTCAAGGATGACTCATGTGCTTACTTCAAGAGAAGGAGGTAAAAAAGACGATTTGCTCATCTTCTCCTGAATCTTTATTTAAAATAAGTAAAATTGTTTGTTGTCACCATCTACAACATAATCCTGATATATGTACGCATTGAAAGAATGGCTCAGTCAAGCCATTTAATATATGCATTAGCTCACATACATTTTGCTTTCAGACCACTTGAAAATCCACTCAGTTAGCAGCCTTCAAACATACAAGCTGGTGAGCAGACCATGGCAGCTCTGAGAACAAAACAAAATCTGCAATAGAAAATTTTGTGCCACGAAACTGCATCTAAACAACAACTTCAGTTAGAGGGAAAAAAAGCTCTAAAAATCTGAACACCTTTGTTATTTCTCATAACATGAAGGCCAACGGTAGAGAAAGAAAATAATAAGAAAGCCAACTGATTCCCTGCACTTCTGCTGGTTTTATTTAGTGTTTTTATCAGTGAAGTGAAACTTACCAGAGGAGTTAAGATTTTATAACCAAAAATACATACATCTGCACAAAAGAAATGAAAGCAAGGTAAAGCTTTGGTGGATGAGCAGAGACACCAAACATGTTTTCAAACACTACATTTCAAAAAGTAAAAACTGGGAGCTGGAGAGACAGTTCAGGGGGAAAGAGTAGCTGCTCTTCTAGAGGACCCGTTTGATTCTCAGCACCTACTTGGTGGCCCACAACCATCGGCCAGTCCACTCCCAACTGACACAACTATCTCTTCTGGTTTCCTTGGGCACCAGGGACACATATAGTATACAGAAATGCATACAGGCCAAAAATATGGAATTAAAAAAGTATGTTTAAAATTTTAAATACATATGCAATATATGCACGTATGTGTGATGGTGCTAGGCTTTGTGATACAGGTGGAAGAAAGGGCTAAGATTATTACAGAACTGTCAGGAAGATATCAGCTAACAAGTTATTGCAAACGAAAACATGAGAGCTAATCATCAGGGACTTTTGAAATGATACAAGAGCAGGCATTTCAGCCTGTTTTAAAAAAAAGCATACTACCTATATAACTGAAGTATTGTCTTTACCAGTTAAAAATAGACACACGCACTTACGCAAAGGTATGTCGTGCACACAAAGAAATGAGAATGTTTTGTTTTGTTTTGTTTTGTTTTGTTTTGTTTTGTTTTCTGATCAGTGCTGCTAAATATTTGGCTGAATATGTGCCTCTTGGCCAAAACTAGGACTAATAGCAGTTCGTGTCCCTGACAGTGCTGGCAGACTGTGTCTGGGTTGGGGAAGGACACGCCCTAAGGGATTTCTTCACAGACCATCTGCCCATCTGAACTGGTGGAGCCTTTGTTCAGCTGCTGTGCTTTGATTTGGCGTCACACTGTCACTCACATCACCTGAGTGTCTGGTGTGGAAGCAAAAGCCTGCCCTGCTCTAAAATCTTTACTTAACTGGAAGAGGACTGTCAGCCTCCATCTCTGGCCCTCTTCTCATATGTCCTTTTCTTCCTCGGGTTACAACCCTGTATCAGAGATCAGGAAGGGAGTTTTCAGTGGTGAGCCATGTAAATGTTATGCTATAGGGTGACACTTTGTTGTGTTTATTAAATATGATATTCTGAGTTGCCAAAATTTTCTCAAAGTCAAGCATGGTGATGCATGCCTCTAACTTCAGCAGTGAAACGCTGAGGTGAGAAGAATAGCGCAAAATATGAGGCCAGCCGGGGCTACCTAGTAAAAGCTTACCTCAGGCAGAGAGAAAAAGGGGGGGTAGGTTTTACAAAGATAGAGGATGTCTCTTGAAAACTGTGTGCCTTAAAATCATATTGCAGCCAGTCGGTGATGGCACACACCTTTAATGCTGGCATGCTTGGAGGCAGAGGCGGATGGATCTGTGTGAGTTAGGGGCCAGCTTGGCCTAAGAGTTCTATGACAGCCAGGGCTACACACAGAAACCCTGTCTCAGACAACAAACTATAAAATCATGTTGCTGGTTTTCTATCTTCCTAAGAGTAAACAATCTAGACTGCTTTTAGCGTGGAGATCAGAATACTTTTCATAGAAGCTGAGACTAGAATCCTGGACTGAAATAGGGAGAGCGAGGGTGGGAAACATGCTGCCTTCCCAGACTCAGCAGCGGGAAGTGAAGCCTTGTCTAGGGGAAGTGAAATGTGAGAATGTGAGAAGCTAATGTTATTCGAACTGCTCCCACATGCGCGCTTTCTTTTCCTTAGTCACCAGTTACAGATGCAAATTCGCTTTCAGAGAAACATGTTCTCTGCATATGCCCCTGCTGAGCTGCTCCTTTCAACATGACAGGGTAAGCAATGGCTCCTGCTGGTGAATCTCTCTGCCTGGTATGGATTTGCAGTGTTTCAGTGTGGAAAGTGGGTTCACTCCCATCTCCCTCCCAGAGCATGTCACGCGTATTCATCATGTATGGAACATACTCAATTCTTAGAAACTTTATCTCTTCTTCCACAGATGGAAAAGCACACAGATCATGCCATTTCTCTGTATGTCACTATCTCATGGACAATGCCTTGGCTGACCACAACACTTTACATGCAGTAGGTCTGCTTCTCAAGTAAATTTCCTTAAATAAGTTTACAGAAAATCTCCGTTCTTCTGAAATTAACCATAGCTTGCTTCCAAGGCCACAATGTACTAATCCAAAATGTTCTGTTGGAAACACAGTGCTAAAAATTGGGCAGAGAGCAGGGAGTCTTATGGAAGGGAAGAGGGGTGAGATAAAAGGACATGGAGGGGACAGGAGTCCCACAAGGAGACCAACAAAGCTAAAAAAAAAAAAAATTAAGCCCAGGGGGTCCTGCAGAGACTAGACCAACCATGGACCATGCATGGAGAGATGTAGCCAATTCAGAGGTAGCCTATTAGCAGCTCAGTCTTCATGTAGGTTTCCGAGTAAGGGGAACAGGGGCTGCCTCTGTGATGGATTGCCTGCTCTTTGATCACTTGCCCCTGGTGATGCAGCCTTGCCAGGCCACATAGCAGTCCTGATTAGATTTGATAAGCTATGGGCAGATAGGAGAGGAGGAGAACCCCCTCTTTCAATGGACTAGGGAAAAGGGATAGTTGGGGATAGAGGGGGAGACTGGGAGGAGTTGAGGGAGGGGGCTTCAATCGGGATATATAATAAATAAATTGTAAAAAAAATATTAAAAATTTTTAATTAAAAAATTGGGTACATGCACATGAAGAAGAAATGAAGCATGTTCACAACTGATTTCCTTACAACATTCCTGACCCATCAAGGTCTATCACTGCCCAATATGTAATGTTTCAACAACACTCACATACAAGCTTCTCATCTTTAGTCATTTAACCCTAAAGCTGTTCTTATGAAGAATGTGTCCGAATGAGCTTTGAGAAATGCAAAGACCATTCTCTCATTAGTAACCAAAACTAAGATGAAATTTTATGCCATTCTTATTCTTCTAAAACCTAGTGCCAAAAGAAGTTATTGTAAGACATTGCTCAATCTAAGCAAACTTCACTGATGTAAAGCCTGAGTTGTTTAGTTGTTAAAAACTGACCATGAGGAACAGAAGGGCATTTCTCCACAGACTTCTCAAAAGCAGACATACAGATTAAATCACCATGCCCTCATTCCCACTGCTGCTCACAAAATTTCCCCAGTCACCTAATCATTCACTGTCAATACTTTGGTAAATAACATTTTGGTTATTAGCGTCATACCTCCTGTGGAAGGTCCCCTTCATCGTTCATCTCAACACTTTTTTATGTAAATCAGCTGTGGTAACCACACTCCCTTCAACGATGGCTTCAGGGCACATTTATATGTAGACTTCCAACAAATGTGGCAAATGATGAATCCCGCAGAGATTCTTTCCAGGGGGATCCAGCAGGTAATAAAAGGTAAACATCAGACTCTGTCATGCCCAAGGCACAGTGTATGAGAAATGCTCTGGAATAGCCTGGTGACAAATGCTCATTTATGCCTGACTCCCTGCAAACAAAGGGACACAAAGCTTAAAATTGTGTTGATTGACTTTTTCCCCCTCCAACCTAGTGAATTTTTGTTATATAACAATTGGATTCTGGAATGAAATCTATTGTAATAATCAGAGGGTGAAACATTTTTTAGACAGCTGCAGTATCAAAAGCCCACAGAGAAAAATACAAATGGAAAAACAGCACTGCAAGTGACCTAGATTTGTACCAATGGCAAAGATGTGCTCATTTGTAATTCATGCGCGTGTATTCCATTGTGGGAACTTTCCTGCCTCCAGATTGTTCTGGCCCTTCGTTCTATCACTACACTAAGGCTATCTTTCTTGAGATAGCCCTTCCTCATGGTCCTCACTGAACATGAAGTCTGCAGGCTGCCTGCCCCATAAGACCCTAAAAGCAACTCTAATTCCACCAGAATCAACACTCAGAAGGGTAGAAATCCCATTTCCCCTGTCCCCCAACTGCAATGGTTAGTGTAGTTTGCTACGGACAAACATGGGGAGTTTCTTCTGAGTCAAACCAAATGAACCATTGAGTATATAATCTCCATGGCTGGGCATTGCTGTCCAGGTCTTCTGGACTTGACAAAGCCCCTGCCATTCACTCAGGCCACTATCCGGCTTCAAAAGTCCCATTTCCTGGGAGCAATGATCACTGCTCTTGTTTGCCTCACACGGCCCTGCTCTTGCCTCCTAGCAATGCCTCTGTTCTGTGCTGGCCACTCTGCGCTTGGTTGTGGTTTAGACCTAGCTTTGATGCCCACTCAGCATCCTGAACAACCTCCCCTACAGACCTCCCCAAGAAAAGCATCCCCACCTCCCAGCAAGTGTTTGAGTTACTAGGGTTGCCTCTCTCTCCTCCTCAGCCAGGGTGTTTAATTTTCAGCATGCTTTGTGCCAGAGACTCAGCCAATCCTTGTCAATACTCTTCTCTTAGAACCATTTCTCCCAGAATCCGAAATAGCCATTATTCCATGGGAAAATGTCTGTGAAAAATTATAAAATGCTTCTTTATGTCAGAGGAAACAGCTATCAAAGGTGGGTTACAGATTAGGATGTAGTTTTTCATGTTTATCTGTTTACTTACAGAGACGAACACAACACAGAGAGCAGCTTGTGGGAATTAATTATTTTTCTTCACTGTGCAGGTCTTAGGGATTGAATTGGGGTCCACCAGGCTGGGTGCGAGTGCCTTTCCTCTCTGAGCCATCTCACATGCTCACATCTCCCAAGGATCATGCTATTTTAGGAGTCAAATTCTTCCTTTAGATCAGTATGTCATTTCTCATGGGAGTTTGCTGTCTTTTTTTCATCTTCTTTACCATATTTTACAAATCACATCTCCCCAATGTGGAGTCATGAGTTTCTTTACTATCCTTTCTTGAGCTCTGAATTTCAGATTTATGTCCATTTTCCTAAGTTTAAGTCCTGCTTTAAACAAATTTACAAGTAATGTTTTACGGAGACTCGGTGTGAGATTATTCATTATTTGAAAGAATTTTTTCTACAATTGTGTAGTCATTGTTTTACATTAGTATAATTAACTCTTCTTCTTTTGTTTTTTTTTTTTCTTTCCACTGGTATCTTTGTCTTTCTTCTCAAGTCTATGAATTTCAGTATCTTTTCATTTTATCAACTGTCTTTCTTTCTTTTTCCTTTTCCAGTGTCTCTAATCAAATAGTAAGGGCCTGTGAGATGGCCCTTACTATTTTACACACACACAAACACATGCACAACTAAAATGCAATAAAATTTTAATCAAACCATGGCTTAAAATTCAAACATGCAATTTGTAATAAATGTATTCTTATTTTCAAAACTAGATATAGGAAAACCTTTTCTTTTTTTTTTTCTTAACCCTTAAAGAACTAAGTTATGCTTGTTTACTCATTGAGTTGCATTTTTTTCTAACTTCATTTAAATCCTAATAGGAATTCTCTTTGCAAATTTTATTTTTTAACATCGTATTTGTGTATTCATTCTGTGTGTTTATACATGTACACACATGTGTTAGCACATGTATGGGAGTCCAGAGGCAGAGTTTGTTTTCTTACAATATGGGTCCTGGGAATTAAACACAGAGCAGAAGGTCTGGCCACAAGTGACTTTACCCACTGACTCTCTGCCCAGCCCACTTCATAGATTTCAATAACTTACTTAGTTTATAGAATCGAGATGAAGTAAAAAAAAATCACATGCAATGCTTTTAGATATAGTCATTATTTATGTGAAACATCAAAGTCTAAATGCCTCGACTTCTATCCAGAGCCACACCTGTTCTTTAATTCCCCAAACAAGAATTAATCTTATGTCTAATATTCAAGATAACAGAAATAATGTAAGACACAGAGTTTGTGTATCCTAATAAACAAATCTCTAAGCAGTCAGATTTTATTAAACTGCCTATTTTTTCCTTACAAGAGTTTGCATTTCACATCAGAGCATTTGTTGTGACACCACAATACTACATCAAGCTAGAGAAGCCTTTGCTCAGGGGTTCTCACGGCCAGTTACGACATCCTCACTGGTCAGGCGTGACTCTGTTATGCTTGCTGGCTGTGGGCTGCACTTCTCAGCATCTGAGAAATGGTCTACTCTGTGTTATACACAGACCTCTCCCTCACGCTGCACTGCAGATTGTTTCAATCAACGGTCCCTTCCATGTCTATCCCCACTAGCTGGCTATATAACTGCTAAAATAAATTGCATTTTTCAAAATTTTTCATCTCAGTTTTACCAGTTATTCTAATGTGCAGTTTAATGAAAGATTTTGTGGCAATGCATTATGATAAAAATATCTTCTAAGAGACGGGAACATTTGCTGGACCTCCCAGGCAGAGTTAATAATGCACCTTGAGGTAATTTAACACTAGAGATGGCTATCCTACTGTGTACTCAGCCTGTTTGTTTAACCTGTTTTTGAAAGAATAATGTAACAACCGATCTTGCTTACCTTGGACTTCCCATGTAATCAGTTTTTACAACCTAGCCTAACGCATAGCTGTGATCTTAAATTATGTGCTCTCCCATGCCCCTGAACCAGACTAAAACAAGCAAGATCTGATAATTATTTGCTGAAAACAGCAAAAATAGAGGTTGAAATACCCTTCTAAAATTAATACCCTTCATAAATGTTGAACACAACATTGGATATTTCATAAACATTGATGCTTATAGCATTACTTGTTGTCTTGGTCAGTTGGAGCCAGTGACTCAGTCTATTGAAGATTTCTGTAAAGTATCCCATTCCTTCCTCATGTGCTGTTTTCTGTGATGTCCAAAACCCTTTTTTAGAGACAGAGGGACAGACACAGAGGTGGGGACAGATTCACAAGACCACATTCAGGGAGGCACAGTTTCAGACTCAACAGAGAGACAGAGGATGGAAGACACAGGAACCATGAAGTAAGAATTCAAATCTGAACTCACTCTTGGTTAAATGACACCAAGGAGGAAGTGCTTTTCTTTTGTTCCTTAATGTGATATATTATTGGTGACTCAGAGTTAATCACTAACGTGCTTAACCCACACATTCTTTTCAAACCATTTTTTTTTCAAAACTAGGCACAGTGTCCTAGAAGGAACTGAAAAATTGTAAACGTCTAATATTTTTGTAGTATAATTTGGATGACCCTATTATGAAAAACTAAGAAAAGTTATTAAAACAGGATTACTTTACAGTAATCTTTAAGAAAAATAATAATAATCTTTAAAGTCTTGTTTCAGGAAAATGATGAACATTTTCAATGCACTATAATAGTATATCCTCCTAGAAAGATAACGGAGATCATCAGTTCAGTGGGTGTCTCTGCAAACACCATGGCCAAAGGCGTGGATTCAGGTGAGGCAAGAAGGAAGTCTGGTTCCAGAGGACTAAGTAGCCAATGTTGATTCAAACCTTAAGAGTCTAACCACGGGTAGTTTATTTCAGGAATATTTAATTACAGCACAATTTAGAAAAAATAGATTCCTGATGATAATTAATTAGTTAATCCCTTGTGCACAGCAAGCTTAAGGCATGATTACATGGAAGCTCTTGTAAAGTGCAAGTGACGTCTCCCATTTCCGGGATGATGGCACTGTAGATTGGCTGATACACACCTAAAAGTCTGCAGAGCTGGTGTGACCTGGTCATGCATATAGCACAGAGGTCAGCAGGCTACTCATCACAGTCATTCCCAGCCGTCCGGGTGGAACACAGGTTACACATCTCTCCGTTTGAAGAGACAACCCTGTGTGTTTAACATTCCTGGTTTCCCCAGAATTCATCTGTGAGCACAAGGTGCTCCAAGCCTCCTACAAGTGTGTATCTGTGCATCAGCCAAGAGCCTATTAGCTGTCAGGATGAGATAGGAAGGGATTCGGGTTCTCAAATGCAGCATCAAGGCAGGAGAGATGGCTTAGCAGCTAAGAGCCTGTGCAAAAGGACTAGAGTTCAGTTCCTAGCACCCATGGTCAGGCATCTGAGTCGCTCCAACATCTTCATTCAGCTTTGGAGGGCACTAGGCTCACAGGCAAAAACCTACACTCAGACGCACTATCAAAACAAAATTTACCATGTAAGAATATGTGAGTTCATATAAAAGTGGAGACGTTTGCTAATCCCTGTGTCTTTGCCCTTCAAAAACCTAAAGTAGCATTCGAGTTTTAAAACACTCTTGAAATAACAAAATCAGTTACTTTTTATAAATTTTATACACATATTTTATGCCATTAGAAAGTTAGTAGCCCTTTCCCAGTTCATTGACTCATTCCTTCAAG